GACAAAGAGAGTTTCAAATAACAAGTCTGATAAGAGGACAGGGTAGCCGAGCGGTAAAGCGCTAGACTCCCATCCCAGAGATAGCGAGTTCGAATCCCAGCGGTGGAGTTACTTTTAAAATTCAGGGAAAATAGTATTAATTTCCACAAAAATTCATTAAAGGTAATAAGTAATAAAATAATGATGTACTAAATAGTTAATAATTAAAAAGTTAAAATTAATGACGTATTAAAAATTAATCAAATAACAAAATAATATTAATCACATGTCAAATAATTAAAAATAATAAATTAAAAGTGATGTCATTCCAAACACGTGGTTAAGAGCTCATTGCCATAAACATAAAAAATAGTGTCGTTGCCACAAAAAATAAAAACTTTGAAAACATAAAATCGTTGCCACAGAATCAAAACGAAAGTTTGATGATGTCATTCCATCACGCGAAACAAGATGGCGCTGGTGTCGTCACTTCCGGTTGTCACGTGATTCAAGATGGCGGCGACTACGCCCCTTTTCTGTGACGTCACTTCCGCCTACCGGTTACCTCCGGTTACTACTCCTAGGAAACCAACATGTGTAGAAGTTGAGACAGTTCTTTTCGTAACTGCTCACTTTCGTAACTGAAAAGCTCTTCACTCACACATCCTGTTACTTAGACCTGTTTGCTTAGTGAGTGGGTAGAGAAATTTCCACTTAAAGTACATTATTTTCCTTTTTGGCCCAACTTATAGTGACTGAAAGTGGACATCACTGAAATTTGGTTTATCATGTAAAAAGCACAGTAAATTCCGAGAATTGCCCAGGAACGGGTAACTGCCATCGTGTCTAGTGCTTTGGTATCAGCGGTTGCAATTCGTTATCCACACAGGATAGGAAATTCACGTTCTTCTTAAGTGCGCGTCAACTGACAAGGAGCACAATACAGGGAAATATTGGGAGGAACTGTTCATGCATGTCCCTATACTATCATCTTCTCTCAGTAACTAAACATCGGAGACAAAAGGTGCTATCTTGGAAGACTTACTGGATCTCTTTTTTTCTTAAACCAGGTGTTTGACTCATTGTTCTTACCCTGATGCACATTTTAGTTTGATAGCTGTAATTGCATCCGTAGGGACTCTCTAACTCCAGTCCCTCCTCGTTTTCCTTCAGAATTTACCTCTTATACTATTTCTAGCATTCTCTGTATTCTCATCAGCGACACTCTAATCATATTTCATTTTTCTGCTGTTAAAGTAAAGTTTTTCTCCCTACTATTTCTTGAAATTGTACATTTTGCATATTACAGAAAATGCATCTTTTTCTTTCTCACTCATTTTTTCAAGGATTAGACTAATCTGTCTAAATCCGTTACGTTCCGTACATATAAGACAAGTTTATTTTGCATTACTTTATGTAGTACTACAGTATGTCATAAAATATAAACAGCTTACAATATAATTTCTTGCAGTAATCTCAAACTGGCAGCCCGCAGGTTGCATTTAACATTCGAAGCAAGTTTTTGCGAATACATTTCCATTATGTACTTATTGTAATATTTAAAGATTTTACGTATTTGAAGTCCGAGTTTACAGTATTTTCATTACCATTAGAAACGAACATGAATAACGGACCAGAAAATGTATAAATGAAGCTAATTAATTTACCATGTGATGTAAATCTTATTCAAAGATTTGAATATACAGATTTTATAAACTTTTATGGGTATTTGTCAAACGATAAATAAGCTTAGTGCCGAATTTTTGAACTCAGAATAATAACTTTGTTTGGGTATACATTTATACTTGAACAGTCTTTTTTACAATTAAGACACAATAACACGTCGAATAAATACTAATTCAGAAGTCAAACAACAAAAATCAGCGTTATTACCTACAAAATTTTCACAGGACTAGTTTCGATGGTTTTGCCGAACCATCATCTTCAGCTGCAAAACCGCAAATGTGCTGCAACCATTTGCGGTTTTGCAGCTGAAGATGATGGTTCGGTAAAACCATAGAAACTAGTCCTGTGAAAAATTTTGTAGGTATAACGCTGATTTTTGTTGCTTGACTTCTGAATTAGTCTTTTTTACAGTTGCAAAGTAGAAAGAAAAAGACCCGACTGACCGATTAACCTGTACCATATGTGATGAAGATAATTTCTAGTAATTTCTCTCCAAGACTTCTCTCAGAATCGAAACGCCATCAAAAATTAAGCTGTAGTCAGAGATAAAGAAGTTTATAATTATCTACACACTAACATCTGTATTTGTATTTATGCGTCAAAGAAAAGTCATTATAAAGTCATAAGAAATATAAACTAGGTTATCACCATTTATTCTCAAGTTTTATCCCATTTAAAAATTTATCCACTTAAAATTTTCTCTGAAAACTTGGAAAATTTTCAATTTTTTTAAAATTATTTTTTGTTTAAATTAAAGTAAGTTATTTAATGATTAATTAAATCTGTTACTATTAATTGAAATAAATATTAGTCTTAAAACTTAATATTTAGTTGTTAGTACATGTGATTTACAAAGTGTAACCATCAAAAATGTCTTGTAGGTACCAAATTTTAGATTTCACATAGAAAATAAATATAAATCTGAATTTGACATTTTTTCCTTCTCGATATTATTAGTATTGCTTATGTATGTTTTGACAAATATTTAGCAAAATTTTAAATTTATTATAATATTTTTGAATTTGCAAACAAAAATATTTTCATTTTGTTAAAAAAAAATTGGCCTATCAATTGCTTTTAAATCCTGCATGCGGCCCACATGAAATTTGAAACAACTGCCTTATCGTATAATTTACCAATTAAACCTGACCATATTTATATAATTTTACACGAATACCTTGTGTTATATATAATTTCCGCTATTGTCTCATCTTTCACGTATTCGTAATAAGCCTTGGAATATAACACAGGCGAATACGGAGGCACTATTTATAAGCTGCTTTTAATCAAATAACAAAGTAGAATATTACAATGTCAAATAGCTGAAGCTATAGGATCTATCTCTCTTTGGTCACATAAACTAATCTAGATCCTACTAATGAAACTGACGACCTCTCGCACAGGCGTGAAATAATACCAGCACAGAAAAAGGGTTGAAATTTATTATTTTCAACTAAGAACAGAAAGCACGTACTTCGTGCTTTACAGTAACACCGACAGCTTGTGGTGGAACTTAACCGTTGTTACACAAATCAACTTAAGTCTAAAAGAGTGATACTGAACTTTTAAGTTACGGCTAACTAGGTTGACTCGACAACCTACCAGGTCTGATAATTATTCAAACGAATAAAAGGCGTTTCTCCAATTCCGCGTAACAGCAAGGTCAGACACAAAAGGTGCAATGGCTAGCGAAAACGCACTCTGAAAAACACCAAGAGTCGCTCGATTAAATACTCACTTCACTTAACTTTAAATTTACGTTCTGGCGAGGAAATGCGAGGGGAAATTGAGAAGTTCAGGAAAGACAACGAAAATTTGAATAATAGGTTAACTGAACTAAGGGAAACCCAGCAAAGCTATTGTTTATATATTGTATTGTCGCAAAATTATGTCATTTTCTGAAAAATCACATTATGTAACTTTATAATCGCAAAATCACATTTTGTAGCAGTTAGAGATCCAAACAAGAGAAAGGGAAGAATATTTTAAAATCATGCAGTATTTAAAACTACACTGATATTCCTTTTGTGGTTAATTATTTTAAAGAGAAACATAAAGATTCTGCTTCTTTAAAAAATTTTGGAAATTTGATTTCTAAAACCTTAACATCAAAAACACACAAAGATTGATAAAAAACTAATACAGTGCACTAACATTAAAATTCCTGTTGTGTACTAATTTCTGCTGTAATCTTTTCAAATTTCTGTATATTTTATACCAGGAATCGGCAACGTTTTTACTCGGAGGACACATTTCAGAAATGCAAGTGTTCGATGGGCATCATAATGATCATTCGGCGGACATCGTAGATGTGATAAAATGTTTCGGGAGGCCCCGTAGTAGTGATGAATTTCCACGCCACATTTTTTAGATATTGCTATAGTAAATATACGCTTTTTCTTTATAATGAATGAGGCGTCGTAATTTTATGAATCACAAAAATATTACTGTTTATAACCGGGGTTTGTTCGTTAAAAGTGAGCTGTACCTTCATAGACTTAGCATCGTATCAACCTAGTATTTTTAATTCCCTCGTTAAATCCGGGTTTTCATTAAATCAGGACTCATTATAAGCGAGTTGCACAGTGAAAAGCTTAAATTTCAGAAAATAGGAAAGAACTGCGCGCTTTTTCAGAATTTAAAGATCATTATTAAATATCTAAAGTTTTCTTGAATCAATTTAGTTTTAAAAATATAGCTAGTATGAAGTTAAATGAAACTTAAAATTTTATGTTTTAAAGGTTTAGTTGTAAGTGCTTGCGTTTCTCTAGGAAAATAATTTTCTATATTTTATTTAACTTTAAGTGCGCATAATTTATAATTTAATTATAATTGTTTTGTTTGTACTAATTTTTTATTCATCGTTATTAATGGCACGGCATAGGGCTCCCGCACTTCTAATTTTAGCAATTAAGCTATGTATACTATAAATAAGATTCTGCTATTTTCTCTCCTTCATGTTACAACAGATGTTAATGACCAACAATGTAATAAATGCATAAAAAAATAATATTCTTCTGTAAAATACAGAAAATTTTACATCCATACTTTCATTCGCTACAAAAGCCAAAAATTTTGTATATATGCATTTATAAAATGTTTTTTTAATAAAATTCTTTTTATTATTACGAAATTTGAAATTCAAATACTTGATATAAATAAATTTTAGTAAAACCCTGTGTTAGTGATTTTTTCTATCCGCTATACTCCTATAATACCTTAATCCTTAATTTCGGTTCATTTTCCCCCTTTTATCTCTCTTTGATTTTATGCAACACATAGGAAAAAGCAGTAAGCTCTTAAACTTGGGAAAATCACCAAAGTTTGTAACTTACTTAATTTTGAATCAATGGTGTATGGGATACGAGCATTAGGCCATTTTCTTTTCTCAGCAACAACAGCATTTCTATCCTGAGATAAAATATTTTCGGATGTGAGCAGTTTGAAAAATAAAAACAATACTACTTGAAATTCATAAATATCTTATGGATTTCATAAATACCTTATAAATCAGGACTCATTATAAGCGAGTTGCACAGTGAAAAGCTTAAATTTCAGAAAATAGGAAAGAACTGCGCGCTTTTTCAGAATTTAAAGATCATTATTAAATATCTAAAGTTTTCTTGAATCAGTTTAGTTTTAAAAATATAGCTAGTATGAAGTTAAAGGAAACTTAAAATTTTATGTTATTCCAGATGCTCGAAGCACCCTGAGACACCAAACATGCCTGACACCGACGGACCATTGATTGCTGGACATGTTCAAACACATCGGCAGCTTCTTTGATTGTAACATCTGCGCAAGCGAGTTTTACCACGAAATCCATTTCAGACACAAAAGGATCGTGATACATGACACTTTTGATATCTCCCCAGATGTCAAAATGGCTTTTCATGCTGTTATGAAATTCATAATTAATAACAATAAAAATAATAAACTTCTAAAACATGCTAAAAGTTGCTACATTGATACTAACGATTGCAAATAAGTAAAATATCTTTAGAATATTTTGCAATTACTATCCGCAGATACCTTAATTTCTGTTATTCTAATTTAATTCCGACTACTGTTAGTTGAATATTCTCTCTGTACAGGGTGTTCCTTAATAACAATACTACTTGAAATTCATAAATATCTTCTGTTTAATGACATGGTACAAATAAGCTTAAAGTTAGTAGGTAGCTGTGAGTTACGTTCAGAATCATGAAGCTGTTTCGATTTAACTCTCTCGCCTGGTGATTAGTGCTTTAAACTTTACTCTGCAAGAGATTTTGATGACCTTCGACGTTTCTTGCATGTTACGAATAAGTTTTAACTGTACCTCTATTTTCTTTTCTGGATAAATTTTAGGATTTATTGTGCCTGTAAGTGTTGTTACTCATTTTGAAAATATGTTCATCTGGCCTAGTTATTTCGCGCTTACTTTCCTAATCTTCCATTTGTTTCACTTTAAACAAAGCAATAAGGAATTTAAGGAAAAAAATAGTACGAAGAAAATAAAATGATGTCAAAATGGCTTTTCATGCTGTTATGAAATTCATAATTAATAACAATAAAAATAATAAACTTCTAAAACATGCTAAAAGTTGCTACATTGATACTAACGATTGCAAATAAGTAAAATATCTTTAGAATATTTTGCAATTACTATCCGCAGATACCTTAATTTCTGTTATTCTAATTTAATTCCGACTACTGTTAGTTGAATATTCTCTCTGTACAGGGTGTTCCGTAAATGTTGCGACAAACTTCTGGGGAAAGGACATCATAAGAATTAAGAATTGCGTAAGAACCCATTTTCGGAAGTGTCAGGGGTAAGTGGTAACAGAGGTAGAAGATGAGAAAGGAAACAAGAGAGTGATTAATTTGAAACATTTATTGGGCATGGATACAGATTGTGTACGACCGCTTGAATCATACAACAGATGCTCGAAGCACCCTGAGACACCAAACATGCCTGACACCGACGGACCATTGATTGCTGGACATGTTCAAACACATCGGCAGCTTCTTTGATTGTAACATCTGCGCAAGCGAGTTTTACCACGAAATCCATTTCAGACACAAAAGGATCGTGATACATGACACTTTTGATATCTGTTCAGAAAACGAAATCAAGGCTCTATAAATCCGGTGAGCGTAGGGGCCAGGGAACCGCTCCACCACGCGCAATCCATTGATGCGGAAATGATTTGTTCAAATGGCCAGGAACATCCAGTCCAAAATGAGCCGGCGCCCCATCATGTTGGAACTATATGCTCACAAGCTCTTGAAACTTGAAAAATGTTTCAAAAGTATTGTATAGGTAAAAGTGACGAGTATTTTATGAGTTGGCGAAGTTTTGAAAAGATCGCCAAACTATCGATATTCAGCTAAGTCCGTAAATATTATTGGCATAATAAAATAACACAGTGAAAGATAGTGTAAAATATAAATTTGAATTGCTAAAACAAAGGATTTTATGATGCACTAAATATGTAGAGACATTAGGTTATTTCGAATCAGGAGAGATGAAAAATGAGCAACGCCTTCGCCAGGAATCGAACCACGGACCTCTGGAACACGTGCCCATCATGTAGACCACTATACACCAAGAAGGCACGCTGATAAGGCGGGAGAAATACTTTATATATTCCCCCTTTTAAAATACGACTGGGGTTTTTAGGAGACCCAAACGCCAAATCCTGGCTGTGGAGAATCATCATCCACCACCCTTTTAGTTCGCACGCCACTGTAGAGACAGTGGGTTATTTCAAAGCAGGCGAGATTTATTAATTTATTTATTATTATCCCGCCTGCTTCACTCCTCAATGGGCACTTGAGTACTTGTTTCTGCATTTAAACTGCATCATTGAAAAATTTACATTACAATGTAGAACTGATTAGATTAATTTCTGAAATATATTATTTATTGTTCGATGGCAACAAAATTGTGGAATTTAGCGGTAGTAATCCTTAAGAAAATTTATTACGGTATAAAAAGCTGGAAATAAATTAATTGCTTTGACACTAAAATTTTAAAAATATAAAAAATAGAGTTCATCGAGTTGTCGTCTAAATGGCTCACTTTTACTCAATAATAAACTCGAAACCATTTGCTGAAGCAAGCAGTGTCGAACGGATTAAACATAGAACGGATAACTCAATTTACATATTACTGCTCATTTATGGAAACTCCTTACGGTAAAGTTGCTCAAGTCGTACCTGCACTGTATTTGGGGTGTCCGCCGATAACATCGCGGCAAAAACATCGCGGACGAAAACGTCGCGGAGAAAACAACGCAAAGCAAAAACGTCGTGCTACAAAACATCGTGGGAGAAAACATCGCAAAGAGAAAACATCGCAGTTCTAAAACATCGTGGTACAAAACATCGTCGTCGAAAATAAAGCGGTTCAAAAACTTCGCAGTTTAAAATCATCGTCGTCAAAAATATCGCGGTAAAAAATAAAGTGTCTACAAATCATCGCATGACAATAACATCGCAGACATGCTTTTTTCAGCTTTTAATAATTGTAAATGCATATTCCCATACTGAATTGTGAACGCAAGATGTGAAGAAGGATAATTTTTACTTTTACAATTTTTTATTAATTAATAAATTTTTGCTTAAAAAGTAAGAAGGAAACTTAAACATAGAAAATTAAATGAAGCTTATAGATTATACTTTTCATGAAAAATTACCAGTAAAAACTTTATAAAAATGACTTATTAATGACCTTTTTTAGTTAAGCATGTCGGTTTAAAATTCTATTAAGTGCTATAAGTTGCATTAATTTTCTATACTTAAGTTTCCTTCTTATTTTCTCAGCAAAAATTTATTAGTCAATAAAAAATGTGAAAGTAAAAATTATCCTTCTTCACATCTTGCGCTCACAATTCATTATCGGAATATGCATTTACAATAATAAAACCTGAAAAAAGCATGTCTGCGATGTTATCGTCATGCGATGATTTGTAGACACTTTATTTTTTACCGCGATATTTTTGACGACGATGTTTTTAAACTGCGAAGTTTTTGAACCGCTTTATTTTCGACGACGATGTTTTGTACACTATGTTTGAACTGCGATGTTTTCTCTTTGCGATGTTTTGTCCCACGATGTTTTGCAGCACGGCGTTTTCGCCTTGCGTTGTTTTCTCCGCGACGTTTTCGGCTGTAACCGTATTTGGAGTGTTATGGCTGCTACAGCTGTAGTGGTGCCGCGATAGGATGTAGATAGCACCACATGCAGTCTGAACGTTTTATTGTGATTCATCACGCTTTCTACTGAGAGATATTCATATTAAGAAATCTGTCGCTGTTTTCGTATAATATTCTACATATCTGTGATAGTTAATCTTGTAAGTATTTATTGTTCTTGGAGCTTTGTAGATAGTACTGTAAGTTTTGTAACTATTATAGAATCATTTGAGCGAAATTAACATGCATTACGATCAATCAGTGTTATTATATATCAGATAATATTAGTAACGACTTACGTAGTGTTCTTAGTCGTACTTGTGCGAGACGCCTAAGTCGTATCCGGTACGACTTAAGTTTAGAAATTCTTATTTCAACCGATTTTTTACCTTTTTCTTTCTTTTTCGTTTTTGATTTTAGATTTTTTTTTTTTTTTTTATTTGATAGGCCATTATGTCAAAACGAGTTTATAATCGTTGGAAGGTTTCACACGCACTCAAGTTAGAAGCAAGCTTTTTTGGGCTTACTGCAAACAATCCAAGAAAACTTGGCTATCAACTCGCTGAAAAATATAATTTACCACACCGTTTTAACAGAGAAAAAGAAATTGCAGGGAAGAAGTAGTACCATAAATTTATGAAAGCTAATCTTTGCTTATCGTTACGTATTCCAGAAGCAACATCAATAGCCAGGGCTAAAGCTTTCAATAAAGAATTAGTTTATAAATCCTTTGATAAATATGAATCAATATTAGATAAATATAGTTTCAATGCAAACCAGATTTATAATGTTGATGAAACAGGATTATCCACTGCACACAAACCATCTAAAATAATTGCTGAAAAAGGTAAACATCAAGTTGGGGCAATTACAAGTGGTGAAAGGGGTGTGACCACTACAGGTATATGTTGTATGAATGTGGCAGGCGAATTCGTGCCGCCTATGGAAATATTTAACCGTTCACGGATTAACGATTGCTTGAGAAAAGGAGCATCGCCAGGAACGATGTTCCTCAAAGCCAATTATAATGAAGCATCATCTACTTGGTTAAGAACAAATCCCAGCAACATAATTAAACAAAGTACTGTGTCAGAACTATTGGGGAAATCCATACAAAATCTGTTTGTATGGATATTGCTTTGAATGATTTTAAATCTACCGGTGTTTGGCCATGCAACAGACTTGAATTTCAGGATGAAGATTTTTGCACTCCAATGGAAGATTCAATGATTGAAGAGTCTTACGCACAAATGCAAATCAAGTTGTGAGTAATGAAACTCTCACAGCACAAGAAACAACACAAAAAACCCAAAAAGAAGATGCAGCTGTGGATCTTATCACAATTCCTTCAACTTCAAACCATATAAAACAGCACTTAGATACGTTATGTCCGATTCCAAATATAATAACCGGAAGCCGTAGAAGCGTGACTCCAGCAGTCGAAATAACTTCAAATGTGAATAAAGAAAATGTAAAAAATGCAATGAAGAAAAAGAAAGATGCAATCATTAAAAAGGAAACAACATTTCAGATTAAAACGAAGAAAAGCAATATAATTATAGACAAAGACGATTGGTTTTGTTCTCTTTGTGCAGAAGATCGAAAGGAAAATATGATTCAGTGCTTGAAATGTAAAACATGGGTGCACGATCTATGCGCAGGAATTAAGAAATATGTGTGTGATGCCTGTGCTTAATGAAAATAAATACTTTTTTTTTTGTTTTTCTGTAATTGAATCTTAATTTCCTAATAAAATGGCCATTGTTAATGAATTTATTTTAAATAAATACCTAATAACTGTATTTTTAAGTAGGTACGACTTAAGCCATAGGTGGTACCACTTAGGACACTGGTTTCGTAAGTCGTACCTTTACAACTTCTTTTAAATTTAGATTAATTTACATGACAACACAAAGATTTTTTAGATTTGTTCTAATAAATAAAAGCAATATTTACACTAGCATCGAACAGCAAATAAAATTTTTACATATTTGCTAAATACTCATTGTTATGCAGATTTTTTTAAGGGGTACGACTGAAGCAGCTTTACCCTACATGTTTTTTAATTCATGACTATGTGTGAACATCATACGATCAAACCAGATCAGAAAAGAGATGATTCATATTTCCTAATTTACTTGATTTAACACTACTGCATACACTCTTAACAGAGAGAACTAAACAATTGAACATCGTAAAAGAATTCATTTTTACTTCCTTGTACGAAGTAAAAAGGAAGTATTGTAATCGCGAAAAATTTCAGGTATATTTCAACGAAAATATTCATTATGAAAGCTATTGAATGCAATTTAATGACTTTTGGGTGACATCTGTACGTAGGAACAAAATAAAGGTCTCTTCCCCACAAAAAAACAAATTATAAAACTGATTTAAAATAAATTCTGAAGACAACTTTTCATGGCGTCTGTGTGTACGTATGTATCTCGCATAATTCAAAAATGAGTAGCCTCAGAACGTTGAAATTTTGTATATAGGATTGCTATAACATGTAGATGTGCACCTTGTATTTTGGTTGTAATCGGCCGCACCAGAAGTATATAAATATATGCACAATTGTTTTAACTCTGTAACTCGGCTCAGTAATTACTCTTATATGTTTGTAAATTGTGCATTTTTTGCTTTAAAAATCATTGAATTATGTTGTTCTTATCTTCCGGTTAAGGCTTTTATGCTTTTAGTAAATCTGTGTGCAGTATTTGTAGAAGTATCAACAATTTAAAAGTTGTTCAAGTGCCGCTAAGTGTAATTATTTTTGCCATAGCGGCCATGTTTGTTTACATTTGAAACAACAGAACAGTAGATTTGTTGCCAATCTAGAGAAAGTAACAAAGATACAACAACAAAGAAAACGCCTTCTTTTATTATTGCAAATTAAATCATGCTTAATCCATTCTTGAGTTTATGCGAGGAAATAAGTGTTTAAGATTTACTTCATAATTTCCAATACAGATATTTTGAGTTCTTATGCAATTTTGCTTTGTCGCGAAGTGAAAGCTGAATTAATTGAATGAGAAATACTGAATCGTCTGTGAAAAACTGTTTCTTTTTTTACTTTTTTTTCTTGTTGTTGTTGCTTGCTTAATTTCTTTTATACATCGTTTTAGATTTATTATAGTATTTGAATAGAACATGTGGCACCGATTAGATAATTCTTAAGATAATATAAATTTTGTGCATTCTGAGTTATAAAATAAATGAGATGTAACGTTCTTAAGTAAACCTAGGGCCAGACTGTCGCTATGGTAAACAAATAGAGTGAATTTTAAAGTGTGCATTTATTCTACGTGCGCTATCGACGAAATAAATTAAGTTTAAATTAAATGCAAGAGAGAAGCGTATAATTTAATATTCCATACAAGAAAGTCATGCGGTGTACACATCAGATTTCTTGTAATCAATATACTTACATTATTGAAAGAGCTTCTTAAAATATCACCTTCGAAAAGATTAGGATTTTCCAACGCTACCTCACCTTCATCTAAAAAGAATTTTTTTAATTAATTTTGAAAATACAACTGTTTATAAATTCACAACCGTTAAACATTCACTAAATTTCAGGAACTATTAAGCAATATCTGAAGCAGGTGTTGAATGTGATAATTAAAACGAAATGAATGACATAGATTTCAATTTTGTTTAATTTATGCATAAAAATTTAGCAGTTTCCTCAGTTGCTTTTATAGTTAAATAAATGATGTTTGTAAGAATGTACGATTAATTTTTTATTTACATGCATAAAATGCCTATCTAGAATGAAAAGAGTCCGAAAATAAAAAGAATTATTTAAGTAAGCTTGCTTTATTAAAACAGAAATTTGCTTAAAACAGATTTTAATGAAATTCTAGTGATGTTCTAGCGGATCTCATAACTCCACTGCATGCTGTTCCATAACAGCCAGGTCCCGAATTTGAATCATCCCGTTCCCTTACCTCCCCCCAAAAAAAGTCATAATTATCCATTATTGGAGATAAATCTGTTTGGCGACAGTTCTATACGTGCGTGAACAGTGTCCTATTACATGCTTTACACTTCTGGACTGTTAAGGGTCGACAACAATATTACCAATAGCAACCGCTAAATGATAGGAACGTAAAAGAAAAATCCATTGTTTCGGATACCGTGACTACCGTAGCTCAGACGGTAGTGGTTAGGGGAGCCTGCTACGGTACCGAAGGTCCCAAGTTCGAATCCTGGAGAAGACGAGGATGTTTGTAAATGTAGTATAGTGCCGGTGGGGCAGGGCAGCACTTTAAATATGCGGCGAGCCGAAAGTCTTCTCGTGTGGATTGATGGAAGGGAAGAAGGGAGATCCCCGGATCCACCCCCCGGGGTGCTTTACCTCTAAATTGGTGGAAAATAGAAGTCTAACCTCTCTTCGGATTAGGGTTTGGCAACCATTGTATCATGTAATACGGGCAAGAAAATAACAGCCGTGACTACCGTCTACGGAGCTTAATAGACCAGTGTGTGGTGTGGGTGTGTGTATTTTACTTAACGAAACGCAGAGGAAATAATTAACTTATCTGTAGAAACAAATGTGCTTCTTCTTGAAAGAAACAAGAATTTTCTCAACATCAACAGCGATTTATTTACAGAGAAAGAATTTTATCTCCTTTTCACTCAGCTAAAGAAAAAGGAACATTATCTGAACTCCATCAACTAAAAAAGAAGTTTTTCTTAACAGTTTCTCTCACAATTTTAACAACATCTTCAAAATATTAAATTAAAATAAAAATGCTATCCATGCTATCAAATAATATTATTGCACGTGAGCAGTTAACATAATATACTTCCACCTTTGATTTTAACATAAGAGCGAACACTGTACAGTTTAAAACATAGTATAAAAGTTAAAATATATATATATATACAAACGGAAAACAAAATTCTTGTATAGAAATATAACGTAAAAAGGTTTGAAAGCACGAACTGAATGTCTATGAAAGTTTTTAGGATGTTTTTAAAAGTCTGCCGCGGCGACTTCTTTCTGCTTAATAGATTGGATCTCCTTTGCTTGAGAACCTTCAGAAGATAGAGCTTTTGGACAAGTCCCACCAAAGAACCATTCTCTATTTTTTTTTTTTTTTTTTTTTTTTTTTTTTTTTTTTGGCCATTAGAAAAGAGTTATCTCTAGTCGAAAAAATCTTTTCAACTCTTCCCATTGTCCAATGTAATCGGTTTTTATTATCTGAGCTGATAAGGACGATATACCCAATCTTCAGATCAAATTTTCTTTCTCTGGTTTTCTGAACTAATTGGCTCAAATATTCCTTTCGGAATCTGTTTCTGAACAGTTGCCTTAGTGCCTGGCAATGGCGTTTTCTCATTTGTAATTTTTTACTATCTTTTTGGTCTAAATCCAGTGTTCCCGCTTCCTTCACGTCTTATAGAGACGTAGGGAACGAGGTCTTGCGTGTCATCTGAGATACAGGTAGGAGAACGATTGTTACTCACTGCTCCTTTATCACAAAGGATAGTTAACAGTTCCTGACAGTTCACTGATGAATTTCATAAAACTCTAACTAAGAAGTTTTTGGTGGAGCAAATCAATCGCTTTCACCATCCAACCCACGTTGCTGTGGGAGGTATGAATTTCCACTTGATTGGTTGTAATGTTTCATGTGTGATCATACCTCCCCACTTTAATTTCAGGGCTAAAAATATGGTAGGGTACGAACTGCGCCAAATTTGATCGAAAATCCCCGTCCCCCTCTTTTCTAACATGGAGGTAGGAAGTAAAATGAAGTAGCCCTAAACAAGTTTCTCCCGTACCCATTTACCATTGAGTTCAATGGGATTTGACGCGTTCGGATGTAAATATTTTGTAATTACGTCGTAAATATACATATAAATGTATATATTTTCTTTTTCTACAACACTTCAGAGTCCTAAATATATGAAAACAACATATTTTTAAACAACAATTCATTCTGAACGGAATTAAATGCTATACTTTTCACAGGACAGTTTTCTCAGAATGGTTTACTTTGAATGAAATATTTCCACAAGTTTTCGTTAATTACATTAGGAAAAAAAATTAAGGTAATTCGATTTTATTCGGTTAAGGTACAAAAATTAAGATCAAAGTTTATTGTATTATTAATATTAAAATTATGCATTATTTCTTTTCTATGCATAGAGCTTCTTCCTAAAATACTTTCTTAAATATGACATGCTTTTTTGGCTTCTGAGGCATCTTTTAAATCGAAAAATGTAAGTCAATTTATAATTGCTCTATTCAGTTCATTTTAAATTAGAGAATTATTAGGAATTAGCGAAATACTTTAAATAGTACTTGACATTCTCTGAATATTTCTGAAAGGGAATAAAATAAGTTTTCTTTTTTTTTTTTTTTTTTTTTTTTTTTTTTTTTAAGTATTATTTAAAACTTGTAACTGAGTTATTATAAAATGTATGAGGAATAATTCTTTTAATAATACTTATCAGATTTTTTTTTGCCCTTCATTTCAGCAATACATATTCCAAAACTCTTTATTACGTTCTTAAGTGCGCGTCTCATAGCATTTGCTTTACAATACCTTTTAACAGATTGCTTTCCAATACGAACAATTCTAGCTTAAATAGTTTTATAACTTATTTGTCAACAGGATTTCAATTTATGTTTACAACCTGCGTACGTTAAGAAGCCAGCATAAAACTCGAACCGAGAAAAAAAGACTTGCGTGGGAAACATTTAACAATCTGGAATCAATAAGAGGACCATTCATGATCGGACCTCCTTTGGCAGGATATACAAATGTTTTCACCTCCGTCGATTACTCTATTTTCAAATTCTTAATAAGCTGTCTTGATGATGTAGCACGTTCACATGGTCACATCATCTTCACCACACATGGTACTTCCGCCAAATTCGCAAATGTATCCCTCTTCTGTTCCACACATTTGTGTAAAACTGTACATAATTTTACACAAATGTGCGATTCCAAATCAAGGGAAAGCTAACTTTTTGGCATATCTGTGTGTATATTTTATTAATTTTGACGAGGATTGCAGCATTTGATGGTAATTTTATTTTTAATTAACCCAAATAAGTAAAATGTGTAAGCCCAAAGTGATTATTTTTCAGATATATAAAATTAAAACGATGGGTTTAAAATGAGCAGCAGTAAAGCCTCTCCTATAAAAAATTTTAAAAGGTACATGTTACAATAATATATGGATGTGAAAAAAATTTGTTTTATTTAAAACATTTCGGCGTTTGGAAAATAAAAAATAAAAGTAGCGAATACTCTATCAAGGGTATCGAAAGACGTTTACAATTTTAAATGTACCGTAAGGTATTTTTCATTCTTTAAGCATGACATTTCTCTTAAAATCTATATTTTTGTAGTTCAACAGCTTAATTTTATAAAACAAATTCATAATCAAAATCGCTGTTGTTAGTTATCGAAAAATAACCAAGATGTGATTTTTGCGTAAATGTCACTAAACTATACAAATTGCTATTATCCATCACACTATGAATGTTTCTTTCATGAGAAAGTGTCCCTTTTTCGATTTCTATGGAACTGTCGTGTGTCGAAATACTATCAGAATCCTGTCAAGTTAGCTTCTGAATGTAAACAAAGAACACCCCATCTGGTGACCCAAGCTTCAAAGCAGTGCTTCACTTCTAGCGCCGTTTGGCCCCTCCTCCCTTTTCTACCTCCATGTTTTCTAATCCACGAACTGCGCGACGTTTCCTGTCCCCCATTTCTTTCCAAGAAGATTGGGGATTGGGTGCTACAAAAAGTCGTTTATCGCCATTAATGGGACATTCTATTGAGACTGCAAACCTTTATTTTCGTTTATCAATATTGTAAAAATTGTGCATGTAAAACAAATATTAATTTAAAGTCTGGCGCGTGCTAAAAATAAATTTCTTGTACACTCATTTTAAAGTTTTATGATGCTTAAAGGAATGATGAGCCAGATCTTTTTTATTCTCTGTAAGAATTAAGCTTTCCAAGTTGTAGATTTTAGTCGCTGATATATATATATATATATCAGTTTTGAATAGTAAAATTGATAGATTAATGACATACACAAAACTGATACATAATCAAAGTATCAAATATCGGATTTGTAGCTCACCTTAAATAAGTTTCTTGTCTAGATAAATATTAACAAATCTTCTTAGATAGCAGAATGTTTTTAACTTTCAAATTTACCATTTAGGTAAACAGTTCTAATTTAATTATAAAATTATCTTTATTAAATCTAAAAATTGGACTTCTTAAGTCGTTCTAAGTTCACACTAATATTATTGCAATATATTCCCGTATTAAGCTTTCCATTTTTTTATAATTGAAGTGATTTTTTTAAGGTTATTTAACTTTGCTACAAATTCCATATTTTAATACTAGAAACGTTTAAATACTTTATTCTGTTTTCCACCTGATGTACTTTGCCATACATTTAATTTCTAATACACATTTTAATTAATAAATTAATAATTATGAGCGTCAGCAGAATTTTCATAATTAACAAATAAATAAATAAATAAAATAAATAAACTCTCTTATATTCATATCCTGGGATTTTCAGTTCCCTTTTAATCCATTCCTTTTTCACATATTGTTGCACTGTACTCAAGTTTTCATGTATGTAGAATTTATATACTTTGTATTGTATTTATGCCAATTTATATTTAAATGATAATTTTTACAAATTCTTGCATCACAACTCTAGTTAACAGAGGATGTTTCTAACACCTTGGCAAAGCTTAATCTTCAGCATGTAGCTTATTTTCCAATCTAGTTTCAGGCTGAATTATTTGTAAAATTAATTACTTGAAATTATTTGTTAACAAAGATGATCGCTAAATCACGCTAATAATATTTCTAACTGTTGTAATTTATAATGCAACGAGTTAATGTGATTTATAATGTAATTCATTTATAATTTTTTCAGCAGTATTGAAATTAACAGCAGATACTCATAATGATACACATTTAGATTACAATGATTTAGATTGCCATTGCCTTCTTCACTCATGCTTTTATGCTACATTCCTAATATTTCATAATGGCATACAGGTAAGTTTAACTCATTCACCAAACATGTAAATTTCTAATTCAGCCCACTTTTGTTCTTACGTGTGCTGTATCTTCTATTTTCTTTAATATATTGTTCAGCCTAATTTCAAAAGGTCTTGTGGAAAAGTCACTAAACATTGGTAGTTCGACCCGAGTTTCTAGTCCCAGTGATCCCCCAGCTCTTTCTTTTTTTGTACTTATTTACTGTATAAAAATGTAGCGTAAAAATTTCAGTTCAAGAAGTAAAAATACTTTTTAAATTTATTCTTTAAAAATATTGCAAAAATTTTTACCTTTACCTTAGCATATCTTTTTACAAATCCCTCTAATAAGAAAAAATAAGGAAAGAAATTAACTCAGTTTCGGTGATTGATAACTCGGTGCAAGTTATATGTAACATTTTTCCAAAAGCATAGAGTTATATGGATATCAATAAATTAAGGATTATTTCTCCATCTAATTTTTCTTAACATGTTTATTCCAGAATTTTCTTTTCACACTGTAGCGCTTTATGAGTTTTCTATAATCATTCAATTTCTCTAGCCATAGCAACTTCGCATACCTTCTGACAAGTAGTTATATTTTTAACCACTGTATTTTAATTCCTGTTGGCTATCAGTACATTATTCACTTGTTTCACAAGTGCAACTTTTATTTTATACGCAAATCTACGTAAAATAGCATTAAAACTTCACTTATGCAGAGCTCCTGACGAACATTTTACAAAAATTTAAACACTAATTGAAAATTGCCACTGTCATGATAAATTGAGAAGAGGTTCTTAAGATAATAATTAATATTTTACCTAGGCTCCAGTATTAATTTATTTGCGTTTCAGAGCAAAATATATAACCATCAACTTCTATATCTCCAGCGTATGTAAATGAAATACTATATAAATTAGCTAATAAATGTGATAAAAAATATTTCGTACAAGAAACGTACCTAAATCTTATAACAAGAAAAACCTTCCAACATTCATATTTGAAATGAGATAACCTAACAAACTTTTTAAAATAGGAAAAAAATATTTTAAATATTTTAAAATACTGTATGTTGACATATTTAGTGTTTGTGGCAATATTTAAAAAAGCACATAAACTATGTAGTGTTTGAAAGTTACAAAAAAAAAAAAAAAAAGTAACAGAACTACACTATTTCCAATTAATAAAAAATCCTTTAGTGTTTTTTAAATAGCAAGCTGTTAAAAGTACAATAATTTGTAGCAATGCTGATGATTTTTAACATCATATAGTATAAACTTGTTTTAGACAATGGCAGATTCTCATGGCTATTTTATTTATTTTTTCAAATCAATATCATTCCTTTGGATATTGCGCAGAAATGATTTGAATAATATACACAATAGTAAGAACTCAACATTTAAATCTGCTCTTCATTAAATAGCACACACACAAAAATTTTTTTCCCATTTATCATGAATTTTATTGCTATCACATATCAAGTATAAAAATTAACATTGAAAATGGAATATATTCAAATGTAATAATTAAAAAACATAACTTGCAACACTCGTATTCATACCAAGAGATATATTACGAATTCCAAGAGAAAAATAACAGAACTGCAATTTGCACTTAATGTAAAATTTAATGTTTTTTAAATAGTCATGATTAAAAATGCAATAATTATGAATTACAATATATAGTAGTCATGCTGATGTTTCTTAACACCATTTCTTTCAATCATATGCAGGTGTATATACATATTTTTAGTTTCTAAATTTTAGGATAATGGGAATTACGACTATCATTTATATGCTTTTTATTATTTTTTTATTGCCAGTTGTGTATGTTGTTTGTTAGGTTATCTCATTTCAATTATGTGTGTGTGTGTGTGTGTTAGATTATGGCAAAGCCTTGAGGGCTATCTGCCTAAGAGGAGGGATGCCTTCGTGGAGGACTTTCTAAGGGAAACTGGCTCGTATACATGTTACACATGGGGAAAACCACGAAAACGCCCATGCAGCCAGCCCCATTTCAATTATGAATGTTGGAAGGCTTTTTTGTTATAAGATTTAGGTACGTTTCTTGTACGAAATATTTTTTATCACACTTATTAGCTAATTTATATAGTATTTCATTTACATACGTTGGAGATATAGAAGTTGATGGTTATATATTTTGCCCTGAAACGCAAATAAATTAAAATACTGGAGCCTAAGTAAAATATTAATTATTATCTTAAAAATCCCTTCCCAATTTATCATGACAGTGGCAATTTTCAATCAGCGTTTAAATTTTTGTAAAATGTTCGGTTGTTCTTCGATTCTCTCAATTATATTTATGCGCAAATTAAAATATCTGTAAAGAGCCTAAAAAGGTAAAGAAAATAATGTATATAAAGCCTCTTTCTTTCAGCTATTATGGCTTTCCGTTGATAACTTCGGATGGAAAGCTCCGCCATGTTTTTAAAGTGTCATGGCCTTCTCCCTCTCGAAGGTCACGCCAGAGCGCTCTGCTTCTTAAATGTCATAGTCCTTGCTTTTAAACTTTCCGTACCAAACCTTCAGTGTCATATGACACACACAGTGTACATTAGTATCTAAAGCTGTACACATGATTTGGTGATATTCTGTAGCTGACTTTTTGCAACAGAACTGAAAGCAAATGATGGGTCTAAACAGGTAGCGTGATAGTTCCTTTTCAGACACCTTGTACTTAAAGATAACAATAATTTTCTACAAACTTCACAACACAGCGTTCTAAAGCAAGTTTCCTTCTTTAAAATGCCAAAAATATTTTGACAAAATATGATTAAATAAGCCAACACGAACTGTTTGCGCAGACGATATATGCGACGACGGGAAACTTTTACTAAAACCTGATATTATTGTACTGAGCAATTACATAACAGAAGCAAAGTGCGGAAATTTAGAATAAGTGCTAGATAATGTAAGAAGAGATATCGTATGCAGATTTTTATTTTTTGGCCTGGCCGTGATAGGTAATCATCACGGTATTTTCTGCTCAAATTTCATACATGTGCTTAAATAAATTTAGCTTATTATTCAAACCTGTCGTTAATAATTGGAATGGTTTTTAATCTTGCATTTTATTCGAATGTTTCCGATTTCACAAAGATGGAAATAAATAATGCAAAATATGGAAAAGTTATCAGCAAATTTTAAATGAAAAAAATTGTGCAATATGCGCAATTCAGCAAGATTGCGCATGTGGGGTTTGAAAATTATTGTAAGGATCTAATTTTACATCCCTAAAAAATTTAAGATAATGAATTGAAAAGTTAAAATTTAAGAAACAATAAAAGAGACGGAATTAGTGAACATTTTGTTACATTGTCCTACGCAAAGCGAATAACAGCAGAAAATTAATTTTAATTTTATAACAAATCAGTGTTTGTGATATCTTTCAGATTAAATATAGTATCTGTCTAAAAGCAATTCGTGTCAACACAAGTGAATATCTCAATAATCTGAAAATTAAGATGTGACATATTTTATTATATATTTCGACTTTGAACTCAATCATTGCCAAGTGATAACAATTTTAATATATTTGGTAACATTTTTTTTTTCATCCTTTTATCAATTAAATTTTGATTTTTAACGGATATCAAGCATAAAAAGCAGAATTAAACATGTAGCATTGCCATCCAAATATAAAATTATTAAAAAAATTAACAGTTAAGATATAAACTTCAGATTATTTAGAAATGAAAGAGTTGCAAAATGAAATTTCACCACTGAGAAAATATAGGAAAGAAAAATTCATATGATATTAACTATAAAATGTCACGCTACATTTAAAAATGTTTTTATATGTAAAACTGCAAATATTTAATATAAATAATATAAGAGCAAATGAAATTGGAAATCTAAATAGAGCTTAATGAAAGAATTTATAGGCTTACTTTCAGCGATTTCTTCTGCATAAATATAGTAAAACGTCAGAAGTACAAAAAATAAATTCATTTTTTCCATACCGAATTTTCTGTATGATTTTAAAAATGAAATCTGAAGAAGTTTTTCAGGCACGATTTATTTTTATCACACTTTGAAAGATATGTAATACTTTTTTCGCATAACTGGTGTTGCGTTTCCCAGAAGGCAAGATTAAAGAAGAAATCAGTATTTATTTGGTTTAGATATCATGTAAAAGTTACGTGCATTATTTGCCGCTTCCGAATTTTAACATATATAAAATTAACCCGTTGAGAATTTTCTAAATTATTCCTTTCATGAAGCTTCTGCGAATTGAAAGATTTCAAAAATGTCAATTTAGTTCATTCAACAATATAAACGAAAAAAGCATTAAAAATGTTGAACAGAAAAAAAAAAAAAAAAAAAAAAAAAAACTATTTCTCCAAAAATGTGGTTTTACAGAAATCATAAAATGTGTGTAAACATCTGATGGGTATGTATTGCACATTTAGCCGCTGATTTTCGCTACATAAGCACAAGAATACACTGAACTCGTTTTCAGTGGATTCTGTGGTTATGTACATTTCAGCTGCTGAAGTGACATTTTAACATCTTTCAGCCGAGGGGATTGAATAAAAAGAAAAAGGTTACACGTGAAAATGACTGGTTCTCTAAGTGATGTTTTTGTAAAGATGTTTTAATTAACAATATCATTACCAATACTTTGGTTTAAATACGTTCTCATGAAGGCAACAACCTGGACTTTTAAATTAGGGCAGTTGTCACACAATCTGGACCCTTTTTTAAACTGATGCAAGGTTTAAAAAAATTGAGGGGTTAAAGAATCAAATACAAAAATTAGTTCTTGAAGGGAAAAAAATTCTGAAAGGTTTCAGATTTTAACGATTGCTAAAAAGGATCTGTTAAGGTTTTTACACTCCCACTGAGGAGTCTACCAATCTTTTGTTGCACTCATTCCCATGATAACCCATATCATTTTGTCCTTTTAGCTGTATTATTAAGCATAATTTTCTTCGCACTTATGCCATATACAATTCAAAGGCAAAATTATAAAAATTGATACTTTTCCGTTTCGCCAGCGCAAATCTCGCCAAGCAGACTTTGTTGGCGACAACATAGAGTATACACATAAAATTGTAAACAAATGTTACTTCTAAGAATTTATTTTGAAGGCATAAACAATTTAATATGGTTTAAAATTTTGTAAAAAGCCAATAAATTTGTAAAAAGACATTAATTTAAGAATTTACTAAGCTATCATGGTTCAACATCCTGATTCGGCGGTTCGTATCACGTAAACCCAAGTGATCTCATCTCGCGTAAACTACGCTAGAGAAATATATAATTATCTACATTAATTTCAAGTTAAATCTTAATTTGGAATAAAAGTTTAAATGCAAGAATTATTTCAACTCGTACGAATAGCTTACTCAGAAATTATGTAAAATTGCAGTGCTTTACTTCGCTAGTGCATTCTCATTAGAATTGGTGAATTTAACCCTTAATTTTACATTTTCTATATTTTCGCCTTCGGGTGAGCTGTGTGATTGCATCCTAATTGACTTAATTACCGCGAATGGTCTTAGGGCATAAAATTTAATTATCCTTCTAAATATTCCATGTAATTGTATGCAGTTTGAAAGAAACAATCTGGTAAGAAATGGCTGCGACTTGTTTTGAAAATAAGGCATAAAAGGTTACCAAAGAAGATATTCCGTTTGGCATGAGTTGTACCATTATTGGGCGACTTTATCGTTTGTGCCGGCAAAACGGAAAAGTACCTAAAAATTTTATACTTAGAATTAAGTGTTGGTATACATTTTTAATTTTTTTTCAGTCTTTTCTCAGTTGATCATATCAATATTCAGTTTTCTTAGCAAGATAACTTTGCTACCAAATTTGTGTCTTTTTACTATTTTCACAGCAAATTTTAATCTTTTTACTGTCAACATTTTGTGTGTTAACTTTATTTATTAAATATGCCAAATAATTAAATATTCCTCACATGCCAAATAAAATTCAGCAGCAAAATCATAAGCTATTTAAAAACTGCGTATCTTTAGAAATTTCGATAGGCAGTCTTGTACGCAGTAGATAAAAATGGTTTATGTGTGGAGATAGCAATGGTTTTAGTGAGCAGTGTTGCCACTGCTGACTTTCAAATCATTAAGTTTCTTAACGCTTTCACATCTGATGGGTTATATACTATGTAACACAGCAAAATCAAAAAAATTCGAGAGGGAAGCGCATGTATTACACATGTGCGAGTATGTGTCCCACTTGAGTACTGGACTTTGACTAGACCAATTTCGCCATGCTCCCTCATTCAGTCTACATCCAGAGATAAAGCGAACGTGTCGTAACGTATACCTACGTACACCTGAGAGTCTGTTTATTGTTTTTTATAATTTTTCTACTGTAATCACTGACTAAAAGTGTGAATTACTTTCATGGTGTTGCTAATACATTTTTATTTAATTTTTTGCTGAAAATTTCAATGTGGGACATATACACCCCTCTCGAATCACACCGGGGATTAATGTGTCCCAGTCGGTTTTTGCCGTTTGTGTGCTAAAAAATATACATAAGCATATATATATATATTTGAGAAAGACAAAGCTAGATGACAGAGATCTACAACAGCTTGCTGATCATTTTGGGGATGAGTCTGAAGATGATGCAGATCCACGTCACGATAGTGGTTCTGAATATGCTCCTTCCACGACAGAGATGACTTCAGAATCCGACATGGATGAAAGAAAATTTCTTCAGGAGAATCTAGAAAAAGTTGATCACAGGACCTAAGGAAACCTAAAGGAACATCTATGTCCCATGCAAAATTTTTAAAATGTAAAATCCAAAAAAAATTTTTAAGAGCGTTTAATACCCCTTTCTCATGTCGATTTTTAATAACAGATGGCGCTACGAACGTTGAGCGATAAAGACTCAAATCTGTAAGACTACCTACAGCCTGGTTACTATGGCAACGACGCTTCCTTCCTCTGTACTTGTTTGGCGGGAAAGTGAGTAAGCCATAAAACACATCCCCTCAGTTGAACAAAAGACCTGCTGTCATTTCTTCCGTCTGTGACTCAGACTGCAGGGTATGTTTTGAACAGGAATAGAACTTTTTCACCTTTGTGTTGAATGAAAGTATCTGTGAGATACGTGCAGCAGTCGCTATTTCTTTTCGCAAAATTTGTTCATCACGCTTTTCAATTTAATGTTGCGTAATGTTTCATAATTTGCCGTTATTTGCGGAAGAAAACAAATTTCATCATCGCGACAAAAAATTATATATAATGATTTTATACTTGATGATATGTGTATACATATATAGCACGCACATAATATTCCATTTACTCATCCATCCATAATATTTCATAAATTACCATCCATAATATTCCATAAATATGTGTTAGCACTTTCCAGAGCTTTATATACATTTTTTACTTGTATTATAAAATCGTATAACACTCCTAACTATTTTTTTTTTACTTCAAAAGTGGATAAATCATTATCAAATTTTTCTAGTACAACGGAGAAATGGTCTATGTATCCCACACATAAACGTAGTAAAAGATACTATTGTTGATTGAATATCTTTTGGCAGCAATATCAAGATGCACAAAAATTCGAAATCAATTAATAACATGCATTTTATTACAAAAACACTAGCAGGACGTATTATTGCACAAAAAACTTAGTGGGAAATAATTTTTGCGGCACATTATCTGAGATCCGCTTTGAATGAATACTAAAGTGTTATAATGAACAATCAGTTTTAATATTCACTTGATACTGAATTGCATAAAATCAAATTGCGTTTCTATGTTTCAGGTTTATAAAATACAGCTAAATTGAAGGGGTATCAGGTTTATAAAGTACAAAAGCTGATAATACATGATAAGGAGAAGAAATTCCTAATTACAAAATTGAAATTATATTTAATAAATAAAATGATACATATTATAGATACATCCTAAAAACGATAATAGTATATATATTGTATATCGTTGTATACCGTATATATATATGGTATTTATATGTATATCTACTCTTTTCCGGATGTAACTGTAATTACTACTGTGCTGGTTTATCATCTTCCTGTAGCGATGCATTTGGATTTGCTGTGTATGAATCTGTTTCATTGAACAGGAACAAATAGGAAACAGAATATTGAAAATTGAATTTTTTTAAAGCATTAGTAATTTATATATATTAGATTGACTAAAAAGAGTATTCATGCATAACGTATAAATATGCGAAGTGAATACTTTTTGGCAATCACCTTTCTAGGATGATCATTTTTAAAATAACCAGTACTGTTGATAAAATAAACACCGGTACGATCTATCTGCCTAAGGGAAAGGATGCCTTCGTGGAAGACTTTCTAAGGGAAATTGGCTCCTAGACACGTTACACAGGGTAAAACCACGAAAGCGCAACCAGTCCCTTCGCGGGATTCGAAACTCGGACCGAAATACTGGTGTTCAGCTACTTTACAAAAACCGCTTCGTGCCTCATTTCAGAGCGGATTCGCTATATATGAAAACAGAGTAATGTGCTGTTACCGTATTTAGCAGCCTGCCTTTTTTCCTTGACCTACCATAAAAAAATAAAATAGCAAAATTATAACAGCGTCTCTAAAAAGATGCTTTGCTATATTCTCATTAAATCTTTATCATTCTGCGCTACTAAAAACGAAGTACGATTATTTCAAATTCAAAATTTTATAACATTACTTTACAGAAAGCGATCTCATGTCTTCTAAAAATAAAACCCAACATCTGTTTCTACTCAAGCGCTTACTTTCTAGACAAAGTAATTTCAGTGTAACGTACGTTCAGTTTTATCTAACTTTGAACGGAAAAAAAAAAAAAAAAAAAACTATGTACATAACAGGCAAAGATATTAACAGCACATAAATTTAATCAATTATATTGGATTACCAGAGGAGAAAAAAATAACTTCGATGAGATAATTCTCTGAGAATTCATAAACGCTAAATTAAGAATCAATTTTATAAAATGTTTACTAATGAATACATGTATTTGCATAGTAAGTTTCCTTTTTAAAAAAAAATTCCGTCTTTCATCTATATATCACGTTTATTCGGAGT